GATAGGATCTAGAATTACCAGGGCAATAAGCCTCTGGCCACATCTATGAATCATTATCTAAACTGGGTCAATTGAAGTGGGAAGACCCCCCCCCCCATCTGTGAGCGGCATCAACCCGTGGGCTTCAGTCCTGGATAAAGCAAGCTGCGCCTCTGCCCTCTACCCGGGGATGCAGTGTGATCAGCTGATTGATGTTCCTGCTACCGTAAGTGCCTCTCCATGATGGGATGTATCTTCAAACTGTAAACCAAAATAAACACCTTTCTCCCTTAATTTTCTATGTCAGGGTATTTTTATCACAGCAACAAGACAAGTAACTGATAGAGTTATGGAGGGCTTTCTTATTTTCTCAGGAGTCTGCACACAGCACCAGGAGATACTGGGCGGAGGGTGGGGGATGATACCGACATGCGTTGGATCAAGCAAATTGCTATGCAAGTATTTACTCTGAATTAAACTGTCACCTCATAAAGGAGTGCAGCGTGTGGTGGCACATGCCTTCAGTTCCCAGCATTTCTAAATTCAAAATAACACACAAGTCTTGAAGCTAGAGAGATATCTCAACGGGTTCTTGCTTTGCTGCAAGATGTGGGAACAAGAGTCTGTGCTTCTAGCACCCACACAAAATCCAGAACAGGGGTATGCATATAACCCCAGAGCTGGGGAAATGGAGACAGGAAGATCCAACGGTATTGATGACCAGCCAGTCTAGCTGCAGGTTCACAGAGAGACCGTACAAAGCCCCTCACCAAGGTTTACTACTCATATGAGCAGTAACAAAGATCTCTGAGCTGTCTGCAAGCCACTCAGGGATCTCAGGGATGAGGTTTCTTGAGTTGTCACCCATGCTGGGGTAAGCTTTTCTTTCTTTTTTAAACTCATTTTTTACTGCATGTAGTCTGTGCACCACATTCGTGCAGTGCCTGAGAATGCCGGAGGATCCTAGAAAACTGAAGTTAGATTGTTATAAGCCTCTCTGAGTCCCGGGAATTAAACCAGGGTCCTCTAAAAAGAACAGCCAGTGTTCTTAACCATTGAGCCATCGCTCCAGCCCCTGGAATAGGCTTTTAAACAATGCAACTGCCTTTGATTGACCCAGGCATTTATAAGTAACCCCTCATCTATGCACCTGTAAGTAATGACAAAAATATAATTTGTTCAGCAAGCTGTAGTGGGGTAGAAACATTTCTATGGTCTGTTGTTGATGCCTTAGCTGGGGCAAAGGAAAACTTTTTGTATCTCTCCGGAGAAGTCACATAATGTAAGTCTTCTGGCCCAATCCTCAGGAGCTGTGTCTGGCTACTCCTTTCAAGAAAGAGCTACCGATTAAAATTCCAGAGACCTCTGCTTAACTATCCCACATTTGGGAATCTGATCTACAGAACTGGAAGTCTATCTGTAAGAACCCAAGTTCCAGGACCTTAAGAAGAAACACTAAAAACATTCTGAACATCCACGAAACGAGGACACGCTGAATAACTACAGAATGTCCATACTACAGAATGTCCCATGCAGGTTTTCCCATAATTTTTTTTATTGTACTAAGATACACATAAAATTTACTACTCTATTCTGCCATGGTTTGCATATAAAATGTTCCCCAACCTTTATGTGTTAAATGTCATGCCACCTGCAATGGTCAGAGGTGGACTTTGGGGAAGTGATTGGATTCTGAGAACCTGGCCTTATCAATAGATCTGTAATCTAGTTGCTGGGATGTGGTAGAAAGCAGGAGGTGGGCAGAATTGGAGGACGTGGGTGATAGGGATGTGCCCTGCAAGGCCCCGGTCCTCCCACTATAGTGCTTAGCCTCCTCTGACTCACTCCTTGGTGGCTGCCATCATGGGCACAGCTTTCCTCTGTGATCCCTCCCACCATAGTGCTTTGCCTTGCCTCATGCCTAATCTTGGACCAAAACCTAAAGCTGTGGCTCAGCACAAACCTTTCCTTTAGGTTGGTTTTCTCTTCTGCTTTGTGACAGCAATCACAAGGGACTGGCAGGCATTTTCAGCGCACAGCTCAGCAGCATGCTACATATTTTTACAGAGTTTCTGTGTATCTTATCACAATAAAAATGCTGGGGAAAACCTGCAGGGTAGCCATCTCCCAATGTTCATCCCCAGAATGTTCTGTCTAAACAACTGAAACTCAGCTGGATGGTGGTGGCTCATGTCTTTAATCCCAGCACTTGGGAGGCAGAGGCAGGTGGATCTCTAAATTCAAGGTCAGCCTGGTCTACAAAGTGAGCTCCAGGACAGCCAGGGCTACACAGAGAAATTCTGTCTTGGGAAGAAATAAAAAGTCTGAAACACTAGAAGAAAATAGAAACGATCAACAGAGCTTTGTTGTTTATTAATTGTAATGAAATGTCAAGCACAGACAGCTGTTACCCCAGAAATGAGCAAAATAAGAAAACAGAACAATCCAGACATGACAAAAAAGAGAAATACAGAAACAAAAAAGATATAGAGAGCTGGGCAGTGGGGTCGCACGCCTTTAGTCCTAGCACTTGGGAGGCAGAGGCAGGCAGATAACTGTGAGTTCAAGGCCACCCTAGTCTACAGAGTGAATTCCGGGACAGCCAGGGCTGTTCCGTAGAGGAACCATTGTCTCAAAAAAATAAACAGCCGGGCGGTGGTGGCGCACACCTTTAATCCCAGCACTCGGGAGGCAGAGGCAGGTGGATCTCTGTGAGTTCGAGGCCAGCCTGGTCTACAAAAGCTAGTTCCAGGACAGGAACCAAAAGCTACGGAGAAACCCTGTCTTGAAAAATCAAAAAAAAAAAAAAAAAAAAAAAAAGACGTGTAGATGGAGGCGTAGAGATATAACAGACCAAGGTTTGGGGAGGTGCTCAAGGAGCAGAGAACACCCCAGCCAACCAGAGAAACTGACCAGCTTGAAGCCCAGAGGTGAAAAGAGAGTCACAGAAAGGTGAGTTGTGAGCCCCAGAGACAGGAGCAGGGCTGGGGCGCTGGTTCGAGAAACAATAATCTTCACACTCTATAACAACACTGGAGACTCAGTAGCAGAGGTGAAGCAATTAAGTTTACAACCTTGCTAAATCAGGTGGGCATAAAAAGAAATGACTTGCATGCTGATTTGACACAAAATAATGCTGCTGTTGCTCTATATCCCTCAAATAGCATTTCCTTGACCACTGAATTTCTCATTGCTGAGTTCTTCAGAGAGATACAATCTTTCCTGCGTGTCTAGCAAAGTCCCCACCCTAAATTTCTCCATCCTTCTGGGGCTTCAGAACCCCTTCTCTTTCCTGGCAAGACATGGGGACAGTGCCTCCTCGCCTGTCGTCCATGGTGAACTCTCAGTGTACCTACTACTGAAAATGGGCAGCAGCTTATTTCTGGCTACTCCCAACTATATGTTGTGAGTATTATTTTAACTATGTAAAGATGTGTTACATTTGTTTGTGCTGCAGAATATTACTCTAACTGTGTAAAGGTGTGTTACACTTGTTTGTGCTACGGAATATTACTTTAACTGTGTAAAGGTGTGTTACATTTGTTTGTGCTACAGAATATTACTCTAACTGTGTAAAGGTGTGTTACACTTGTTTGTGCTACAGAATATTACTCTAACTGTGTAAAGGTGTGTTACACTTGTTTGTGCTACAGAATATTACTCTAACTGTGTAAAGGTGTGTTACACTTGTTTCTGCTGCCTTTGTTAACAGTGTAAAGGTGTGTGGCATTTATTCTTGTGGCATTTGTTGAATTATGAAAATGTGTGTTGCTGTTTCACCTCACCTGCCTAAGGTACCTGATTGGTCTACTAAAAAGCTGAATGGCCAATAGCTAGGCAGGACAGAGACAAGCAGGGCTGGCAGGCAAAAAGTATAAGTAGGAGGACTAAAACAGGACCCTGCCCTAAGCCTAGACACTCTCACCACATCCTCCCTCTCTTTGGGGTGCCACTCAGAGAAATTCTGTCTTGAAAAACTATATATACACATTTTCCAGTATTTCTGAAATGGCCATACTTTTGTTTTGAATTTTGCAGAGAAGTGTGCAAGTACTGATGTGTATTATATACTCCTAGAGGTCAGAGACCAACTTTGAGTCGTCCTTCAGATGCCATCACTTTGTATTTTGAGACAGAGTCTCTCCCTGCGACCTGGAGCATGCCACTTAGGCTCAGCGTCTGTCCAGGGAGTCTTGCGGACTTACTGATCTCTACCTCTCCAGGGCAGAGATCCTAAGTGTGTCATAAAACCAAGCTTTGTACATGATGCTAAAAATGAAACTCAGGTGCCCGTGATTCCATGGCAAATGCTTTACTGAGTGAGCCAGCTTCCCATCCCCCACAGGTTTTTATCATCAGAAATTAGGACTTTAATAAGAAATACAAAAGGGTGTTAGGTGGTGGTGCACGCCTTTAATCCCAGCACTAGGGAGGCAGAGAGGGGTGGATCTTTGTGAGTTTGAGGCCAGCCTGGTCTACAGAGTGAGTTCCAGGATAGCCATGTTTGTGTAGAGAGAGAGGGAGGGAAGGAAAGAAGGAAGGAAGGAAGGAAGGAAGGAAGGAAGGAAGGAAGGAAATACAAACAGGCTTTCCTGAGGGAATAGCTCTGATAAAACAAAAGCCCTCTCCAGAGAAGGGTTAAAAAGTGGGCAGGTTCTAGGAAGTAACCCTCCTCAAATCAAGTTCTGTCTCTACTAGCAGGGGAGGCTGGCTCCCCAACCGGCTTCTCAGAAAGTTCAGAAAGTGACCAGACTTCAGTCATCAGCAAACTTCAGATTGATTGGGGTTGGCGAATAGCAGGGTAGTGAAAAGAGGGACTGTATGTCACTATTCCTCTTGCCTTCACCCCTGCCAGCCACCCCTGGGATGTGAGAACTGAGCAAGGTTGCCTTCACCCCTGCCAACCACCCCCCACCCCCGCATGTGGGAACTGAGCAGGGTGAAGGCGGGAAATGTGCATGGTGATCAGAGTGGTGAGCTAGAGTGTAAGGCCCCAAGACTGTGACATGGAAAGACACAGACACAGCACAATCCTTTTATTTCTCACTCACAGACTGCAGCCAGCTCCCCAGTGACTCGGCCCCCAGCAGCAGTGAGGAAGAGACTGTCCATCCCAGGGTCATGCTGACCTGCCCCTGGCTTCCTCTATACACTTTACACTTCCTCCCCAGGAACCTGCCCGAGGGCCAGGCCCTCAAGAGGGCCAGCAATGCCCCTGAGGCTTGTCCCTCAAATTGTGTCTCTCTAGGCCAGTGGGCACATTCTCCAGAACATCACCCAATGAGAACAAACAAAAAGAGATATCTTCGTAGGAGGCCCTCGACCCACTCTCAAACAAACAGGCAAAGGCCAGGGATGCCCCAGGCACAGGCCCAAGGAACGCCAGGTCAGAGTAGCCACTGGGGCCCTCATAGATCACCCAGGGCTCTGACCAGCTATGGGGATCCAAGGGGGACCGGCTCAGGTAAATTCCCATGTGGAGCCGAGCTCTACGCCCTGATGGGTGGGAATACAGCAGCCATGTGGGACTCTGAAGCGGGGAAGCAGAGGACATGGGGAGTTCTGGGGTCCAGGATGTCTTATCTCCACCTGACCCACGTTCTCGGCCGTGTTTCACTGGGCCCCAAGACTGTGGGTAGCCGAATGGCCCTCTGGGAACCCAACCCTCAACAGAAACCCCAACACCTTCCCCTGAAGACTCCTGTGCTCTAAGATAGAAGGATGGGGACTGTGGGGTTTTCCCAAGACCCACTGGCCACCGGTCCTCCTGAGGCCTGCTGGAGGGTGGGGCTGGGAAGCCCACAATGCTACCCTGGCAACCACGGGCAGTTTCAGCCAGTGTAGGCACCAGCTCCCCTGGTAGGAAAGAGGTTCCTTCATCAGCGCTCAGTGCCTGCACCCGGTTTCCTAGAGGGCTCCTGGCATTGCAGTAGAGGAAGTCTCCATCCACCGCAGCCAATTGGCACTCTCCAGAGCGCAGGTTGGGCACAAGGCCTCCACAGTGCCAGGAGATCCCGTGGTCATCACTGTAAAAAGCCAGGGAGTGGGGACTGGTCCAGCAGATCCTGCCAAAACACTCCCGACGGTCCACGTGATAGGTGTAAGCAGGAACAAGCAGGCGACCTGAGCGCAGCTGGACTCCGTGGCCTGGACCCACAGCAAAGGTGGCCCAGTCTACAGAGAGAAGGAGCCAGAACCTTGGGTTATAGGTCAGCTGACTGCCGACCTATCCTGGACCCCGAATGCACCCAGAATGTGTGCAATGGAGTCTGCCAAGGCTGTCTTTAGAAAGCTAGGAACCTGCTTGATCGTGTGCTTTTTAATATTTTTTTTTAAAATATGTATTTTTAATTATGCGCATTTGGAGGGTGTGCACATGAGTGTGGGTGCCCATAGAGGCCGAGGTGGCAGACACTCTGGAGCTGGAGTTACAAGCAGTTGTGGGCCACCCAATCCGGGCACAGGGAACTGAACTCCAGTTCTCTGCAAGAGCTGTAAGTCATACAAGCTCCTGGTCATCTCTCCAGCTCCTTGGCCAAGTGTTTTGCTTTTTGCCTTGGGATGCAAAGCACAGAAACCAGACCATACCAGTGGCCTACCTCTGAGCCACTCCCCAGCCCTTGGCCAATAGACAGTTGGCCAATGATCACCAACAGAGCTCAACCTCTGGAGCAATTGCTACACAGGGCAGTGGAGGAAGGAGACCTCGGATGAGGTTTTTGATGAGTCCTGTTTCCTTGTCTCCCTCTCAGAAGCTGCTATATCCCTCTATGTAATACTCATGGGCCATGGACCAGGTCCTATAGCCCCTAGGGCCACTGCCTATCAGCATGGGGCAGGGTGGTGGATGAGGAACCGACCAGTAGGCCAGCAACTGGGGAGTAGGGGCTGCAGAGGAGAGAAACAAAGACTGAGGCCCAAAATCCAAAAGACTGAAGTCCAGAGATCAGGGCTGAATGAGGAGGAGGTGAAAGGGAACAGAAAGTGGTAAAAAGAGAAGGGTTTGGGAGTCAGGACTGAGATCCGCAATCCTCTTCTCTGCCGACCAAGACAAGGAGAGCCTCTGGTGGGCTTAAGTTGCCAGCCGTGCCAACACCTATTGGCCTGGTGCTGAAGATGCTTCGGAAATGCCAGACAGTCCTAGAGACAGCATTAGGAGGTCATTGCTCGTGGGTGACATAGGGCAAGAAACTGGGGACAGGGAGTGACAGAGTGAAGATTTCCAAGTGATTGGTGGACCTATGCAAGGGGCAAGCCCAAGCCCCCTTGAGGCCACGCCCATATTGCCCTGTCCTGTTCCTACCCACCCCGTTCCTCCACCCCATACCTCTAGCCCACCCCACACCAGGTGCCACCTACCCTGCAATGCTGCACCAATGGCCTCCTCAGTAAGGTCTCGCACACTACCCCAGGTCAGGCCTGCGTCACAGCTGGTCACACAGCAGAGTCGAGCAGCGTTCTTGCCAGTGGCAATCTGCACGGCCTCTGGCGTGTGGCCCAGCACGGCAATGAAGAAGAGAAAGATGGTCCCGGAGTGTTCGTCCAGTACCGGGCAAGGGTTCATGGACCTGTGCTCCTCCAGCACCGCAGTCTCCAGCACAGTCAGGGTGCCCCACTGAGGGAAAAGAGGCAGCTGGTCAAGGCGTCTGGAGCCTGACCTCAGTCTCAGGGGCTGGGGGTGGAGGGGGGAGGGTGGGGATCAATAGAGCTGGGCTTCAGTTTCTGCTCTGCACCGAACACTCACCCTCACTGAGCCCCTGGCCAGTGTGCCCCTCCGCAGCACCAGGCGGTGAGCATGGGAGTCATCGGGGCTAAGTCGCTGTTCGGCGAAAGCCAGCAATGTCGGCCTGGGAGGCACACAGAGCAACGCAGGCACACGGTAGGTCAGGCCTGTCCTCTCCCGCTGAAAGAGCACCGTCCTTCTGGGAACACGTGGGGCTCCCATGCCCTTCAGGTAGGTGCGGGGCACCTGGAATCTGTGAGGGTGGAGGCTCCACAGATTTACCTAGCCACAAGCAAGCCCCACACCTGCCTGCCCATCTTGACGGCCCTTTCCATCACCCTTGCTCCAGATTTCCCACAACCCATCTTCAGGCCCCTCACAGTCTCGGCACCCCAAATCTCTATAGAGCCCCTTCATTCTCTCAGAGCTGTTCCTTTGCCAGGCTGGCTGGTGATGGGATGCTGGGGAGCTGGGCAGAGTGACCCAACATCCTGCCAGCTAGTGTGCCCTGGACGCATATCACCACAGAACTCACCCAGTGAGAGTATGGGCAAATGGACAAAGTCAGACAAAAAGAGAGGGCTCAGTGTCCACAAATATGGTATGTGAGACCAGGAAAGGCATACCACACAGCAGGGGCAGATGAACACTGGAACCTACCCACGTGGAAGCAGAAGGGAGCTCTAGAACTCTCCACAGGAAATAGCTTCAGACATGGGAGATGGACCACTGGACCCTGCAGAGCTGTCCTCACCTGCAGCATATGTACCAAGTGGCTCTCATAGGCACCAGAGAGAGCCAGGGGCAGCACCAATCAAAAGACAGCAAAAGGAAGGAAAGCCAAGGAGACCAGAGAGGTCCTGGCTGGGCCCTAAATTGATGTCAGTGTAAAGGCTGAGAAAGTAGAGGAGTGGGGTGGACAGCATCCCAGGGCCAGGAGGATGTAATGAATGGGGGATGGGCAAAGGTCTCTCCTTCGGGTCATCCACTGTCCCGTCTCCCACTCTATACTCTGCCCCGTAACCACCTCCTAATGTCACAAGCCAGGGATCAGGCAGACGACAGTCTCTGTGTTGTGATCAGTGATGCCTATGACAGCTTACCCCTTCTTGTCTATACCCTCTGGAGCCCTGAATTGTGGGACAGCTGGGAAACACGTCCACATAGAACTGAAGCCACAGGAGGGAGTAGCCAGGCAGTCCCAGAGCGTGGTTCTTCCCCACTTAGCCTCTCAAAGAAGGATCAGTGGCAGGTAGGTTAGGGGCATGAACTGGGCCTTCCAGGGACCACTGTCCCATTTACACAATGGCAGACCAGAAAGTGAGGGTCTATAGCTTGTGTGGGGTTGATGGGAAGGCATGGCAGTGGATGCATTACCTGCAGGACATGAACAGTCAGGGTCTACAACCACCTAGGACAGACCACCACCAGTCAAGCAGCTCATGGCCAGGTACCCCAGACCAGACCAGACCAGACCAGAGCCAAACACACAGCCCACACCAGCCACTCCTGACCAGCCTGCCACAAGTCACACAGAAGTAACTAGCACAGAGGGGAAGCCAAGAGATCAGGATGCTAGCGTGGCACCTGGACAGAGCTCAAGCCTCAGTAGGGACCTAGCATGACCTCCCAGACTAAAACCCAGGATAAAGAAGTAGAGGACAGTCACTCACATACAGCACCAGCAGGCTCTGCAGACCACAGAGGGCTATGCTGACCACCACTAGCTCCCAGCCTTAGGTCCTCTGCGTCTACCAACCACAGTCCGCGCCACAAGCTCCGTGATGCATGCCGTCCTGCTCACGCTCTGGGCCTTCTGAGCGGCTTCCCATCTCCTGGAAGCCCCCAGCTCTGCGCTCAAAGGGCAATTGTACCCAAGTAGAAGCAGGTGCAAGAAGCCAAATGTCCCTTCAGACTGCACAGGCACAAGAGAGACATTTTCTCTGTATTTGGATGGCTTCCCAAAGCCTCAGACCACAGGGACAGTGAACACAGACTGCAGAAGCTGGGAGCCTGAGCCCACTCCCCAGGCTGGGAGCACAGCAGGATGGAGAGAGGTTCCAAAGACCACCAGGTCACTCCCATTGCACACAGGGGAAACTGAGGCCTACAGAGGGGACAGAGCTGTCATCCATCAGAGGCATCCTTTCCTGAGTCAGCTCTGGGTTTCCATGGAGCCTCGCTGCCCCAGGGAGACCTCGGGTGAAGAGCAGAAGCTGGACCTCCCCCATACCAGCTGCCCATGTGGCCCATTTAGCAAGTTCCAGGGACAGGGATTGTCCAGGAAAGCTGGGTTTTAGCACAGGCTCGTGCCATCCTGAGCCAAGTCCTTCTTGGGAGAGGAATCACAGAGAAGAAACTGAAGCCTCGGCTCTGGCAGAGATGGCCACAGACTTCCTGTTACAGCTTGATCTGGGCAAGCTACCCCAAGTACCAAAGCCAGCCCACATCTTTACCTCCTACCCTCACAGGCCACCCCATGTTTTGACATGTTGACTTGATACTAGGGAAATCAGAGTCCCTTCTCGGGGTCTTTAATCTTGATTATTTTTTTTTTTAAATAAACTACCCTTTTTGCTGTTTCACTTTGATTTGTATCTATAAAGATTATGTATATCTATAAATAACTTGGATCTTTTAGTCAGGTGTGGTGGGACACACCTGTTGTACCATGGAAGGTTGAGCCAAGAGGATTTCAGAGCCAGCTAGGAACATAGAAAGACACCCATCCCCAAAAGAGGATGGCAAACATAACCAGTATAATGGTAGGTGCAAGTGAGAAGCCATCAAATGACAGAGGTTTTCCTTCAAACGCTAATAAAATTGTCTAAGAGCGTCCCTCAGGGACCATTATTAAATTCTTTTATGAAATTTTAATTCAACCCAATTAATGAATTAATCAATTTAAAAGAATTGTATAAATTCTTTTCATAAAATTAAACTAATGAATTAATTTAATATGATTTCATAAATTCTTTTAATGAAACTAAGAATTTAATGGCACACACCTTGAATCCCAGCACTCAGGAGGCAGAGGCAGGCGGCTCTCTGTAAATTTGAGGCCAGCCTGGTCTACAGAGTGACTTCCAAGTCAGCTAGAACTACACAGAGGAAACACTGTCTCAAAAAGCAAATAAAACAAAAAAATTATAGAAAATAAATTATTGCCAACTGTGGTAGTTTGATGGCCCCCAAAGGGACAGGCACTGTAAAGAGAAACAGGCCATGAATTTGTGAGCTAAGCGGGAGTACATAGGAAGGGTTGAATGGAGGAAAGTGAAAATGATCTGATCATGTTTTTTATTTCCGGTATTTATTCAAGTAAAGTATTAAAAATAATGAAGGAAGGGGAGCAGAGAAAATATATATAACTCAATAAAAACAATAAAAAATAATAATAAACTTTTGACCAGACTGATGGCTTATCCTGGAGAAACGTTAATTTGTCCTGCATTTTACTCCTGAATTATTTCTCCAGCAGCTGCAGGGCCTCAGCATGCAGCGAGACATCATCATGCTCCATTTCCGTGTTCCCGCAAAAGGGAGACAATTGCCTTTCATGCATCTGCCTTTACATAATTCATAAATTCTTAATCTATCACTGAATGCACAATTAGCTCACTTGATGTTTTTATTTTAGCAACAAGACTTTCCCAGTGAAGGATTTGGGGCATGGTCTACATCCCATCACAAACTCCTTAATCCAGCGTTTGTTCCAGAGTGTTCTCCCAACCTTGCAGCTCTAGTCTCAGAACACGCTCTCCTCCACAAAACTTAAGCTCCAAACCATGTCACCAAGGAGAAAATAAGAATGAGTATAGCTTCCAAAAAAGAAAAAAGAAAAGAAAAGAAATGGGAATTCTTTTTATAATTTATTTTTATTTTATGTGCATTGGTGTTTTGCCTGCACGTATGTCTGTGAGGGCGTCAGATTCCCTGGAACTGGAGTCGCAGACAGTTGTAAACTGCCATGTGGGTGCTGAAAATTAAACCTGGGTCTTCTGGAGTCATCTCTCTAGCCCTGGAATTTTTGATATAGTATAAATATTTTTCTTTAGCGTTTATATTAAAAACAAACTAATAATTTTTATTTTTTAATATTCATTTATTTGTTATATATACAATATTCTGCCTGTGTGTATGTCTGCAGGCCAGAAGAGGACACCAGACCTCATTACAGATGGTTGTGAGCCACCATGTGGTTGCCGGGAATTGAACTCAGGACCTTTGGAAGAGCAGGCAATGCTCTTAACCGGTGAGTCATCTCTCCAGCCCACTAATAATTTCTATAGAGAATTTATCTCTTAAAGATTAAGAGGAGAGAAGCAAAGTTAAAGAAAGAAGTGATCAGTAATTATCTTTAGTTCTGACACAGCCTCTGACTACTTTTTAATATTTTATTAACTTTTTATTTATTTTTAATGTCTCTTAATGTACATGTAGTTTTTAAAGCTCCTATTAATTCTTGCAAATTACCAATTCTATCATTTTGGTGGTTTTCTTTTTTCCACCAAAATAAAAGTCTGGTTTATTGAATCTGGAGAAATAAGACCTGGGGTTAAATTTACTTACCGCTCTTGCAAAGGACCCAGGTTCAGTTCCCAGCTCCCACATGTCAGTTCCCAGCCATCTATAACTCCATGTCTAGGGCATTCAGCACCCTCTTCTAGCCTCTGTGAGCACCAGGCACCCACACAGTGCACACGAGTGCACATGTGCGTGCATACATACATGCGCAAAATACTCATACACATAAACAAAAGTAAACAAATACTTTTAAAAGGAAGAATAACTATAGTTTCCTATTGGAAATTGTTTCACATATACACCAAACAAACTAAAAAAATAAATAAATAAACAGTAACTTCATATACAAAAAAAGAAAGTTTTCATGTTTGCCTTTTTCCACCATTTCTTACAAATAAACTACTTGTATACAGTACGGGAACCAGAAATCGTTACTGGAGTACTCAGAAAGTGATTTCATTGTTGCTGTTCAATGTGTTTTTTTTTTCTCCTTTGAGATTATAATGAGCATGGTTATGCCACAAGTAAAATCAGAAGCAGGACATAGAGCCTGCCATGGGTGGCAGACGCCTTTAATCCCAGCACTTGGAAGCAAAGACATGCAGATCATTGTGAGGTTGAGGCCAACCTGGTCTACACAGTGAGTTCCAGGACAGTCTTTGCCACGGAGAGAGACCATGTCTCAGAAAGCCAAAGGAAAAAGGAGAAAGAACTTAGAAAGCTCCTAAGGCTGGGTCAGTTACCTATTATCATTGAAAGTGGCTGGTGCCTAACAATATGTACAAAAATATGTAATTTAAATTTTAAAAATTCCTTTTAAGTTTTTTTAAAATATTTATTTATTTATTATGTATACAATATTCTGTCTGTGTGTATGCCTGCAGATGGTTGTGAGCCACCATGTGGTTGCTGGGAATTGAACTCAGGATTTTTGGAAGAGCAGGCAATGCTCTTAACCTCTGAGCCATCTCTCCATCCCCTCTTTTTAAAACATTTGTAGGAAAAAAGAAAATGGAAGTTTTGGTTCTTTTCCCTCCCTGTTGCAAGTTTCACAGTCTGATCATTTGTGGGCAGCACTGCCCCCTACAGGCAGGCAGTTGGGTCGGCCCCTCTAATCAAAAGTGACGACATTTAGATTCTGAGACCCACAATGGAGGGTTGATTAGGTCACAGTGGCCTTTTAAATCTAACATTTTCTTTTTCACTATTTAGTCATCCTATAGGTCTTTTGCTTCTTGATCGCCTCGGCTGCCCACTAGCCCGTAGCTGCCTCAGCTTTTCCTCGTCATCACGGTCCTCTCCCCCGCCCCCGCCTTCTTCCTCTTCTTCATCTCCCTCATTGTGCTTCTCCGTTTTACTCATTAGCATCCCATGGGCAGGGGCATCTCTTCTATCCTCTGCCACTTCCACAAGTCCTTGGTGTGCACTGCACGAGTTCGCCTCGGAGCTGGCGTCTATACTTTGACTTGGCAGGGTCCAGTGATCCAGTGCAGCGGGGACAAAAGAGAACAAGAGCTGGAGAACTCTGGGAAAAAGGCTGCTGGGTGCAGGTGGCTGCGACAGGAAAGGAACCTGACCCTGGAAATCCATCCAAAAACGACTTTCTGGAGCACCCCGTCGTGATTTCAAATCTTAATTCAAGTAGGCTACCCAGTTATGATTTTTTTTATTATTGCCCAGGACTGCTAGACTTTTGTTTTGTTAAGCACACAAAATAAGTCAATATAGAAATAGTGAATCTCGTTAGATTTTTTCCAATTTTTTTTTAAATACTTGCGAGTTAACTCATACTGGAATCTAACATAAAACTGGCTGGAATACCAAATAATGTGTTTTTCTCCAAACATCTCCTCTTTCTTTAGATTAGATATGGGAGAAGTGTCTAGAGGGTTGGGGTGGGGTACTGATTGCACAAGAACAAAACAACATGTCTACTGAAGTCTATAATGAAACTAAGGTAAAACTGAATGGTTTGAAATTTAAAAAAAAATGCTTTCAAAGAAAATAAACAAAACAGATAATGTCATAGTTATTGTTCTTTTGCTGTGAAAAGACACTATGGCCAAGGCAACTTTTGTTTTAACGTATTGAACTATAGGCTTGCTTACAGTTTCAGGTTAGTCCATGATCATCATGGTGGGAGCAAGACCGCTGGGGCAGCAGCTGAGAGCGGACAGCTGGTTCACAGGATGAAGGCAGAGAAGGAGGGATGGGAGGAAGGAGAGGGAAGGGGAGAGGAGGGGAGAGGAGGAGAGGAGGAGAGGGAAGGAGGAGAGGGGAGGGGAGGAGGGGAGAAGGAGGGGAGGGAAGGAGAAGAGGGGAAGGGACCAGAA